TTCTCCAGCTCCCAACAGTTACAAATTTTCCTAGTCCACATGGAGGGGTGTTGAAGCCCAAAAGGACGTAATTTGGCCGTGCGGACCTCGCGGACGTGTCAAACAAAAAACAAACTTTAGCCCCATTTCTACCTTGCTTACCTCAGTTGTTATTGTAAATACACTTGAAGCGCTTCATTTGTTAACAAGTTAAGCAAAAACAAAGAGTTAAACACAAAATACCAAACAATACGGCAGCAGGACGCAATAATCTTCAAAAAACACTTTTTATGCCGTTAGAGTGAGCTACTGGCTTATAGATTTAAAATGGAAAAAAAGAAAAATCTGGACCAAAAAAAGATGAGTTACATCCTTCTTGATGAATGTAGTAACTCCATAGCCAGGTCTTCATTTGCTAAGAAAGAGACCTCACAACATTACCTAGTGAAAATATCTGCACATCTAAAAAAATGCTCATCTCATGGCACAAGCATGTTGTTTTATTGCTAGTCTGCAGACTCACCCATGTTTGTTTGTTTTCCAGTAAACAGTTCAGGCGATGCTCAAGCAAACGTTTCAGTGTTTATGTTTGATGCCGTCTAAAGCGGATGTTCGACAAGGCGTCACAAACTCAACTTGGTGTTGCATCTAAAGAAAACACAAACAGAACAAATGTAACACTCTGGCAACTAATTTCCCTCTCTATTTTTGTCCCTGGTTTCCATAGCGATGGGATGAAATGGAAATAAATTCAGTAGACCTACATTCGGATGTGTTGATTTGCCTGAATCAGTCCACTCGGGTAATCATGAAGTTATTATGCAGCAGGATGTCATGTTTGTCATTGCCGGTGGGGTGCGGGGGCTTGCCTCAGGTGTTTTTAATAACTTTCCTGTTGGACAAATCTTCTTCTTGAGAGTGAAAAATGTGCCTTAACATATTTCAATGTTTGAGATTCTAGAGGGAAGTTTGGATTTTTAAGCGGAATCCTTGTCTCAGAAGCATTTAAGGTTTTCCTCCTCTCCGCTTGTTTCTGACACCTCGGCTGGGTGTTTTCTAAGATGGTGATGTGGTGTTATCTCTAAATCCTTAGTTGTTTTTTCTCAGTTTTATGTTGAAATCACCTCCAGCATGTTAAAGCAAACCTTTTAAAATGCAGCCTTTGTGATATAAGCTTTAAACAACCTTGTTCTGCCTATATTTCTCTCTGCTCTCTGCTCTTTCCCGTCTCGCATATTTCAATCTTTATGTTGTGTTTTCCCTGCGTCTCTAACCTCGGGTGTTTTGAGCAACCATTAACCAATCCTTATATTTCAGACAGATGAAGCATAGCCAGGGCTATCCATATCAAGTAATTCATGCCTGTGGCTTAAGGTTCTAATATTTCTTCCAGCTCCTCTGTCTGACAGAGCCTAGGTCTCTATTCATCACTTCCATGCTTATGCTGCTGAGATAGGAGTTATATTGCAAATAATTGTTTATAGAAGAGGCTGTGTGTTTTTACGTGAGCTAAAGAACATGCTCTGGCCTTCAAGCTTCTTCTGAAGCATTCAGCTTAAATGTGAGGTGGCATCATTTGATCTGCTGAATGAGTCAGAGTGCCCTTAGAAAGCAACCAGACGTATCGCACACAGACCTGAACGCTTTTACCAGGGGCTAATTCTCTTTTTAAAGACGGTTACACAGAAGCATCAAAGAAGGAAATACTGGAATCTAATTGCGTTTTTAATTTAGAAGAACATCAGTCATGTGTCAAAATGATGGATGAAGTCCTAAGATCTTGGTTCTACTGAAGCTGTTGGAAGGGCTTGTGAATTCCTGCTGATTACATATCGGGGTGTATCAGCAGTTTCTGAAGGTTTTTCCTGAAGGTAATCTGAAGTACTCCAAAGTTTCAATTAAAAACATCAAGCCGGCCCGGAGCGGTACGTGGCATAGCTGTATCATGGGTGCTCGATGTAGAGAGGCTAGTTGTCCTTTGGGACAACCTTTAGGGTTTAACTCCTTACCAAAGGCGTTTAAAGCAACATTGTGTAGCTTTTGGCCACTAGGGGCACTAAACCTGTCGCTTCCAGGTTCAGCACCCCAACAGCGCACTGTGGCATCAATAAACAGCCTTCCTTGGTGTTTTTGAATCTGCTAGCTGACCACTTTGGACCAGGAGATTGTGAAGTCATTGAGCGCCATAGTCTCTCCTCGGTGTTAACGCTGAAGTTCAGGAAACTGTCCTCCCTCAGCAGTGTGTCGCAGTGGGCTTGTCGCAGTTTTTTTTTATTTATGCCCAATATTAAAGCGTGGTGTGTGCTATGTTATTCCACGCCACAACGCAAAAGAGACAATCAGGAACTATCTGTTGGTCTAGATACGGTCGAGGCGGTGAGAAAGTGGGGACAAGTTTGTGCGACAGCAGAGGGACATGAGGGCGAAAAAGAGCGGGCATCCAGGTGGAAAAAGGGTCCCAGGGTTCTCCCGCACCTCGCTCTTCTAGCTGGTCCAACTTTAGGTGTCGTTTTCCACAATGGCGGTCATACAAACAAAACAAGCCGCTAAGGTACCAAACAGGAAATACGCATAGTGTAGAGCGGATGTAGATTTGACCAATCAGAGGCCTCCTGTCTGCGGTCACCTACAGTTTTGGAGAGGTGCAGCAGAGTGTCTGCGTAGGGGGCGGGACATATCTGCGTTCACTGCGACACACAAATGTCACATAGCAGCATGAGGTGAGGGAGGAGCAGTGAACGCTCTCACTGCATGGAATTCACCGTGCGCTACTTCACCACCCTTCACCACGCGGTTCAGATTTTGTTGCATTGATGAAATTATAGAAACAGGATAAAGGAATCTTTCTATGGTGAACATGTTTCTGTTGGGAGGAGTTGATTGAGTCATGACGAACCAAGCAGGAACGGACATCCATCAGAGCGTCGCTCTCTAACCCTTAAATCCCACATCCTCTGTCCTCTGTCCATCCTTTTTATATTGAGGATTTGGGAACAAAATTGAAGAAAGTTCACACACCTGCAGAAGAAAACTACTTGCTGCATCTGTGGACGGTTTCACATGTTTGCAACAAAACTAGCAGCAGTAGTGGAATTTGGAGATGCAATCCACTTCTTAAATCTATCTTTGAGTTCCTGTAATTTATCCAGAAGTTCTGCAATCACACTTTTTCTCTCACTCTCAACTTGGTGGTCGGCTGCATGTTTAGCCTTCCCTGGAAATGCCTTTCCAAATTACTCTTTTTATTTTTTGAAAGCCTCTCGTTACAAAGCAAAAAAATGTTAATGAAAACAAATGATTCGGTCCATTCTTTTTTGAATTCTCTGTTCTCATCAGCTATCTTCCTTTTTTCCCTTTGGGATCCATGGCCTGAGACACGCCTGCCGGTTTGTTTACCTGCCATCGAGCTATGATGTGCTCTCTATGGCCGTGATGCAAATTTTCGTTGAAAGAAAAGTTTACATTTATTGTATTAAATTTATTTACTATACAAATGTTTACAGCATTGGAAAACATGATGAATGTTTGATCTCCTGCACATCACATACAAAAAAAAAAAAAAAAGTCTATTTTCTTTAATTTTTGAATAAGCTCCAGGGAGCTGCAACGGGTCACTAAAGAGCCGCAGGTTGCTGACCCCTGGGTTAACCAATGGACTTCTAGTTTTCTTCAAAATAAAAAAAAGTTTTAGATACTGAAAAGGATGGATGTTTGACACCTATGAAGCTGGAAAATGTTGGATTTAACTATCTATAATGGCTTCACTAGAATGTCATTATTCTTGTTTGGGTCTTTTTAACAGTGTGTTCTTGCATCTCAGCTTACAAAGTTTTCTAGCATCGATGATGATGGCTCCTAAATTGTACTAATGACGTTTAAGTGACTGAAAAAAATAATATTTCATACAGAAAACAGCATCCATGAATCCTTGGTGTCTATTAAAATATGAAAAGCAATAAAGATGATGTATAAAAACGGTTTTTATTAGCCAAAATTTATTGAAGGACTTAAACAGGAGGTGGAAATTCCTATTAAACACAATAGCTGGAGACATATAGCTGTCTGACAAGGTAACTCACTGCAGGGTTGAAATTAAATTACACTCTGTATAAAGTTTTTTTTTTTTTTGGACATTCAACCCTGTTTAGTTTAGCTTTAGCTGTAAGTGAGGACATTTTACTAAGTTAAACAAGTTTTAAACACCAGTGTAGACAAACCTTTCTTGAAAATAAATTCACATAAAATCTAAATATTTTCACAGTAAAATCATCTAACTTCTTTTTTTCCCTAAACCCAGAGGCCGGCTTCGAACAGTTTCGTGTGGCAGAAAAGGCTCATGGGAGCTGGATGAAGCTCTACCTGGAAGGAAATACCTCTGAGGTGCTGACCAACATGGGCAAAAAAGTCCTGAAGCAATACCTGGAGGCGCTGGCTGCCATGAGTTCTGCTCTGAGCAAACAGCTGGGCAAATACGACCTGTACTCCATGATTGCAGGGATGGTCTTTGTCTTCCAGGTGAGGAGAGCAAAGATTTCATGGGGGTTTGGTCTCTATATGGCAGCATGTTTTAATAGGTTTGATCATTGATTTTTACAATTAAACTGGAAATGAGAAGAAAAAGAATCTAAGAATCAGAATATTTTATATTTCTGACGTTCGGCCTGCAGGTATAGATTTACGGTGACTGATTTCTCTACTAGAACTAAAAAAACAGCCTTTAATGTCAAGATTGTTTTTTTGTGTTCCTTACCAATTACAATCATGTGCTTTTAATGTAATATTTATTATATCTTTATAAAACTTAATAGGGATCCATGAATAGTTAAACATTTTGGCCTAAATATGTTGTAATTTTCCAATGAACTTAAATGCTATTTGCAATATGTAACAGTTAACAATAAGTTAAAAACTGATGTATCCTTTATAATTATGTGTCTGTATAATTTCTGAATTCTGAACTATTCTGACACTCTCTGCTTTAAACTGAAAAGGTTTTGCGTTACTGTTCATTGCATTACCCAGAATGCATAGCAGCATAACATCATGGCAGTTTTATTCAAAAGTGTTAAAACTGAGCAGCTTACTCTATTTTTATTGGATTGTTTTTACTTCAAAAGTAGATATTTCTTGAATTCTGTTTACAAGTAATTGGGGATTCCTTTAAAATTGAGGATGCGGTTAAGAGGAACATGACAGTAAAATGCTGCAAATCCCAATAACTGTTAGCAGCTCAGTGCCGGTGAAAGTGATCTGAGAGGTTTTAATAGCTTGGTTAGAAAATAGACTGAACTTGGATGAGAAAATCTACCTGAAAAACATCTCCTATCCGTTATTCTCTAAGAGCTACCCTCTAGGGACTTTAGATCCTTTCCCTAACAGAATGGAATGAAATAAACAGCTCTTTAGCAGGACTCTGCAGAGAAGGAATCTAAAGTTGCAGGATAGTATCTCTCCTCCAGGATGGGACTTTATGCCTACTGTATGTCCTGCTAGGCAAACATTAAGACAGACAGATGGAGATCAAAGCTGGTAAAACCTTGTTTTTTCCCTCCCCTCTCCACTTTCTTCCCTGGCCTTTTAGCTCCTGTTGGTCTTACTGCTGGCTATGCCTGAAGCCCTCAGCGGTACCGCAACAGTGGACCTTCCGGTCCTTTCTTCTCTGCTCTCCCTGCCTTTCTACCTCCTGTGTCTGCTCCTCGCCTCCGTGCACGTGTTGGTGTGCACATCAGCTGAGAGCTCCTGTTACTTCTGCAGCCTCTCCTGGGGTCTGGTGTTTGCTGCTGTCGCCTTCTCCTCAGCAATGTTTTGCATTTTGATCTCGGTAGCAACACGGAGACTCCCCCTTGGACCAACGATTCATGGGAAGGTGAGTGGGACCTCATAACGCCATCCATTTATCCTCCATTCATATGTATTAGCTGCTGAACCCAGATTTCCATACATATTTAATTCAGTTTATTTATATAGCGCCAACTCACAACACGTTACAGTTCACCAGATCATCCAGTCAAATTGATTCAAAGTTTTCTATCTAATGTAAACCAGTTGATTGCATCGACTCATTGACTCGAAGGCAATCACTCACACTAAGCATGCTTGTAGTGACAGTGGAGAGGAAAAACTCCCTTTTAACAGGAAGAAACCTCCAGCAGAACCAGTACATAGAATACCTGTAGAAGACGACATCTTCGACATCAGACTAAAATGTTTCCTGTCAGCTCTAATTACCAAAAATATTTTTCTCTTTGCTGAATTCCAGAACATTAGGTATATTTTTTTAGAGATTTTGTTTAACTTTATTGAAGAACTGATGTTTATGTGAAATAAAGTTACTAAAAGGCTAAAATACTGCCCAGTGATCTTATATGAATGCCAAATAATCTGAACCAAGAGATTTAAGAGAGGTTTGTTGGCTGCCCTGCTCACAGACATCAGGTCTTTGTTACCCAACCCCACCCCTCCCGAGACAAACAGCCATTTACACTCACACCGAAAAGTGGGCTTACACTGTGCGATTTTTTTATTTTTTTTGCCCTTTTCGGAGCGACTTTCCAGTCGTCTGAGAATTTTCCGATCGGGTCTACTTTCAGCCTAATCGTGCATCGTGTAGCGTACAGGGGGTAATGAGGGCCGATCAGCATCTCACGAGGATTCATAAGGTCGGGAGAAAAATCAAACATGTTTGATTTTCAGTAGGCCGTCGTGGGCACATCGCTCAGTGGGCAAACAAGGATTCTTCTTCCTCTTAGATGAAGTTTCGTTTGGATGTACAATGTGAGCTGTAGCTGTGAGCAACGATTGAAAAACTCTCACAGTGTATGCCTGGCTTAAGGAGAATTTAGAAAAGCCAATCAACCTAACATTCATGTTTTTGGACTGTGGGAGGAAGCCAGAGTACCCTGAGAGAACCCACATGTGCTCAGGGAGAACATGCAAACTCAATGCGGTAAGACCCCAAGCCGGAAAAACTGAACTAGGAACCTTCTAGCTGCAACACAGCAGTGCTACAAACTGTGCCACTGTGCAGCCCTTGCAGAATTTGCATTTTGCTAATTTCTTTTCGTGTTTGCAATTAGCACAGTTTGATTGTCAATGGAAACACAGCCGTTGACTTTGTTGTATAAAGCCAGAATTCTGTCAAAAGTGCAGACTTTGGCTACTTCAGTTTTTGTAAACATCTGGCTTGTTCTGTATAGTGCGCTGCAAAAAAAGACCACAGCATGTTTGTTTACTAGTGTAGGAACCTCAAGTTTGTGCATCCAGCACCTTTCAAATGTCTGTACTACGTAGATTTGATTCGTAAACCTTGTCTTTTGTGTTTTTACTAAAAAAGCTTACAATTTGAGACCAGATCTGAGAAGTGAGGATCTTCTTGATGTTTATTAAGATTGTGGTTGTATACATTTCTCTTATTTTGATTTGTTTCTATTTCTGAAATATATCCAATTGCAATTTAAACTTTTTTCAACATCAGAATAGTTGAAATGTTTGAAACAATCCCTGCCTGAGTTGCTCAGAGTTGGACTTTAATCAATGATTGCAAAGAGCCACTTAATCAGTCCCTAATTATTCTACAGTATTGCACAGGAATACGTTAAGGTAATAAGTAGGGAGCAGTCTACACCAGGGACGGCTCATTCATTTAAACACATGAAGTGGTGCTTCATAAAACTTTTTTCCTTTCAGTGCTAGCCCAGCCCAGAAATAATGGCTCCTTTCACTTGCTGCTACTTTCTGGAGCTGAAGACTTTCCATCTCCCCATCCCAACCCTGCATTATATAAATATATACCGTATTTTCCCGACTATAGAGCGCATCTCTATATAAGCCGCACCCGCTAAGTTTTAAAAAAAAACTAGAGAATTACATATAAAAGCCGCATCGGGGTAAAAGCCGCTGATAACAACTGAAATGGTTACCGGTACCTCGTTTAACAGAACACAACTGAACAGATTAGTTTCGGAATGGTTTCTGTAGCACAAAAGTAAAAGTGCTGATCAAACAAAACAGAAAAGTTATTGA